ACAATTAGTGTTCACGACTCTAGTTGCTGAAACTGTCGGCCCTTGCAGTTTCTCAATAATCAAAGTTGGACTATCCCCCACCACAATTTCGTGTTCATGCTCACTATCCAACAATGATCCCTGTATGTATAGGGTGAATCGTGCCCAGCCCACCCGCACCTCGAGATTCTGTCTCTCGATACGCCTCGATCCTAGAATCCTTACCATCCCTATATGATTCACCCCTCTCGACCCTATTGCCATCGTCGAAGGAATTTACCACTACAGTTTGCGTCTGAACTTCGCCTTGAGGCTTATCTAAAACCACCCCACACCTAGCACAACAATTGTTCATGGGGCCTGCTAGAGACCTTTTTTCCACCTCTTCAATGAAGTCATCCAATTCCTTTTTCAACGTCTGAATGCGAGCCTGTAAAGCTGCATTATGGTCATTTCCCTTAGTCTCTACCCTTTCCTTACACACCAATTCCCGCTGATCAGTACTATTCGATGTCCCAACGCTAGCCGTCACATCGGCATAAGTTATCCCTGATCTCCTCTTTTCAACACTTATTCGTTGTTTCGCCTTATCTCTGGAAACAAGTAAGTCAACAACTGCTTGAAACACACGTGAGATCAATGCCCATCCTTCTCCATTCGCACCTTCCGGCATCTCTTGTCTTCAGCTATTCAACGTTTAACCTTATCTCTGGCAACAAATGAATCAACAACTGTCGAAACGCGCGTGAAACCGATACACATCCTTCTCCATTCGCACCTTCCGGCACCATCACAACTCCTTTTCGACGCCTATCCCCGTACTGAGCTATCATCAAAAACCTACCACGCTTGTTAGCACATCGTTGTGCCAAGAGGCTCGCGAAGATTCATCAAACTTAGCAACAATGTCCTCCATCCTATCAGCCATCCTTAATTTGTCTATCATATTCACCATCCAGACGGCACCATATCGGCCCATGCAAATTACACCCGATATCTTCGAACCCCATTCCGATAGCTTAATAAACCCCGAATCCGTAGCAGACACAACGAACTCCTTTGCCGAACACGAAATCCTGAATTGAAGACCTTTATACCCCCAGTGCGAGGCTGATTCCCACAATTTTGAGCAAATGAACCAATAGATGATGAAACCAATGGTCGAAATGGCCTCGGAACAGTAGATTGGATCTGAGTAGGTCTCAGATGGGGCGCGTGGGCCCATGCGCTGTCCCACGGGCCGGTCCACGCTACAGCAGGTCGACGTGATCTCCGGCTGCCGGACTCGGAATCACCTGCACAGGCCCCCGGACCGGCGCGTTCGGTGGTGGGATGCCTGGAAGTGGTTGAATCGGGAGCAGAAAGCCGTGAGCCAAAGCCTTCTTCTCCATCGCTGATTCTGTATAGGAACTGCTTCCTGTAAGCGATGCGACGTCACTGACCGTCGAACCATCTCCGGTAGGAACGACGGTCAGCCTGTCGCACAGGCGATTCAAGGTTCTAGGGTTCCGATCGTCAGTTGAAGGGCCGGAAGCGAGGCTGAATATTTGTGGCGTGAGGCCAGTAGGGTTTTGTTGGACTAACGCCGGCTGCTTGCCGTCGACATCGTCGGCCGGAGGGGGTGGTAGTTGGGTGTAAGGAGGTTGGGTAAGTAAAGGTTGGGTGGTTTTGGATTTTAGGGAAATATGCTCCATTAGGGTTAAAGGTTATATCTTCAAGAATGTTGGGAAATAAAACTCCAGTAAGTTTTTTACACAATTCTATCCAAAGTTCAATATATCTAATTAGTTACCACCTAGAATATTTGGTTCCGTCTTTTAAGTTCACATTCATAAGCAATATTTTGGTTAATTAGATCCTCGAGCTCCAGCACAAAAAAGGTACAAGTGTTATCGTCCAGAATCCCAAAAATTCTTTGTTATTAAAGATGTTACCTTTGCCGAAAATCAATTTTTTTTAAGGAATCTTATCTCCAGGGGGAGAGTTCATTAGAAGATAAGATTGGTCTTTGTTTTCTTGAAATTGACCTTGCAAACTCTAACATCCAAGAAAAATCGGAAACTAACGTTGCAAATTTAGATACTACAATCACTATTTTACCAAACGTTGATCCACTTTTTCCTAAACCTATTGATAGTGAGAGAACAAGAAGGAGAGTTGAGCCTAAATAGGTGCAAGCTCAGGAGTATCCTATAACAAGTAATGAAAGTCTTCCAAGTTCTCTTTCACCATAAAATCTCCTTATCACTGAGTTGAAATACCTTTATATTCCAATTGCCATAAGAAAAGGCACACGAAAATGCACACAACACCATATAACAAACTTCATTTCCTTTAATAGACTCTTATATTCACACAAAGCATTTCTCACAAAACTACACACCATTATAATTCATCAAACAGTCTAAGAGGCACTAAAGAGTGAAGAATGGAAAAAAGCTATGAGTGAAGCAATTATGGCGTTGAATAAAAATGAGGCATGGGATGTTGTTGAGATGCCAAAAGGAAAAAGACAAGTGGGATGCAAATGGGTGTATACTGTAAAATATAATACTGACGGTACTTTGGAGAGAGATAAAGCGAGAGTTGTAGTAAAGGGGTACACTCCAACGTATGGGGTAGACTATCAAGAAATATTTGCTCCGGTTGCACAAAAAATGAATATTATTAGAGTTTTGTTGTCCGTAGCAGCTAACCTTCAATGGTCCTTGTAGTAATTTGATGTAAAAAAATGCATTCTTGCATGCGGATTTGGAGGAAGAAGTTTATATGAAGGCACCTAATGGCTTTAATATGGGTTTTGGAGTTAATAGTGTATGTAGGTTAAAGAAAGTTCTATATGGATTGAAGCAATCTCCTAGAGTATGGTTTGGAAGATTTGCCATTGCAATGAAACAAATGAGGTTCAAACAATCACAAGGTGATTATACATTCTTCATAAAAAAATCAAGAAGCGTAAAAATCACTATCCTGATTGTTTATGTTGATGATATCATCGTAATAGGGGGAATGATCTTGAAGAAATTGAGAAGCTTAAAAAGCAACTGGCAAAAAAATTTGAAATAAAAGAATTGAGAAAGTTGAAATATTTCTTGGGGATTGAAGTGGCATACTCAAAAATTGGCATTCATTTCTCAACAAAAATATATTCTTGATCTACTGCAGGGGGCATGAATGCTAGGTTGTAAGCCTTCTGAAATTCCCATTGAACAAAATCACAAGCTAGGAGAAGCTACGTGGGACACAATGGTAGACAAGGGGAGATATCAAAGATTAGTTGGAAAGCTCATTTATTTGTCTCGTACTAGGCCACATATGACATATCACTTATGCTGTAAGTGTGGTAAGTTAGTTCATGCATTCTCCAAGGGAGTGTCACTTAGATGCTGCTCATCGAACCTTACAATAATTGAAGTCTAAACAAGAAAAAATGTGTTCTTTTCAAATATAACCAAGAGTTGAGTATAGAAGCCTACACGGATGTGGATTGGGATTGGGCAGATTCAATAGTTGATTGCAGGTCAACATCTGGGTATTGTACCTTCTTAGGAGGAAATCTGGTGACATGGAGGAATAAGTAACAAGTTGTGGTAGGCAAATCAAGTGTTGAGGCATAATTTAGAGCTATGGCACATGGAATTTGTGAGCTTCTGTCTCAAAATTATCATAGAAGACTTGGGTATAAAGTGGGATGGAAGTATGAAGTTATACTGTGATAACAAGTTTGCAATTAATATAGTTCACAATTCGATACAACATGATCGTACTAAACACGTAGAAGTGGATTGACATTTTATCAAGAAAACTAGATTGTGGTCTAATTTGTACTCCTAATGTCCCAACAGATGGACAACTTCTTATCAAGGGACTACCAAGCAACTCATTCCAACGAATTACAAACAAGCTGGTCATGGACAACATTTGCTCAAACAGCTTGAGGGGGAGTGTAGTCCTCAAGAATATGTTTGACATGGAAAAGAGGAATTAAATCCCTAATTTGATTCCACAATTGTATAGTTGTAAATGGATTGATTCCTTCCCTAATTTAGTTGCTAAAAATCTGGCCATTAGGGTCTATTATCACTTAGAGAGATTTTTGCCTATTTCTTTGTATAGAATTAGTTTCCTAAATTAGTGGTGATTGTACTCTATAAATTGTAAACTTTTATTAGAGAGATACAAGTCAGAAATTATATTCTTCTTCATCTATAGGGTATACTATTTGTGGCCAATTGACAATCTTTTAAAAAACTGATTTCAGTTTGTGCCAACCTTCATAATAACAATTGCTTCGTCATCCTCACTGATGGTTATTTGTATCATCTAGATACTTCACAATAGACGAACTTAAAATGGTTATCTTGTACGATACCTTTCAAATACTCCGTACTTTCATAAACCGAATTAAAGTTTGTATCTACCTTCTTCTATCTCCTCGAAAGAAATCTTTATATGTAGGAGTATGTAATTTATAGCTTCTGTTCCTGCTGCTTATGATCCTGTTTCGCTAAGCTTATAAGGTGCTTATAATCATTGACTGGCTTATATTTGTATTATCAAACTGGTGGCTGTACAAACTATTTTGTCCCAGGATTAAAAAATTTTATTGGTGTGTGTGTTATATGCATGTGTCCTATAAAAATAGTCACCAATATTGATTGTGATTGATGCAGTGATAGCCTGTTCATAACTGTGCATTAGCATATACTTCTTATACAAGTATTATGTGTGACTCAATTGGGGTTCATGGGTTTGCTTATGTGGATTTGTAACTCACAAGCTCTGGAAGTAGTAAAATGAATTTGGATATGAATTTAAATCCTTTGAAGTTGTTCTATTGGGTAATTTCAAATGATGGTCAAGAAGAATAGAACGTCATCTTTCAGTTCCAGCAATTGAAAAGTCAGCCTTAACTATACCATATTGTGTGATTGACATGCAAACTCAGCTTATGATCTATAGTCTATCTTATGATGTGGAGGAGCTGTTCCTGATACTAATATGATTCGTTATGTAACCAGGCTCCCTGTGCGCTGGGACAAGACCAATATAGTTGTGATGAATGAAGTGCGTGTAAGCAGTCCGTATCTGCCTGAGAATGTTACTGGAGGAACTCCTGCTGCAAATGAACGGGTGCGGAAAGTGGTAAGATATTTTGACGCCTAGATCTGAGTTTTGCTTAATTTTCTTTCCGACTCTTGTCATATCTAATCCACTCTATTTATTATTGTGATTAGCTGGAATTTGAGAAAAAGAGGTTGCAAGCTCGCAGTGCTGGTCAGTGATGATTTCACCTTTGGAATATTGAGACAGCTGAAGAGATAAAGCCTCAAATATGGGTCACGATGAGTTTTTAAGTTATAGTAAACCTCCCCAGAGAAGTAAACTCTTATCAATTTGCGAGATAAAAGTTCATAGATTTATGAAATTTTCTTTATCACATGCTACTTTCTGATATCTTAATGGTGATGCACTGCTGAATGAGTTTGAATTTGAGACTATACTGCAACTTCCAATAACTCATGTTGTTCTTGAGGCTATCAAGATGTCATTGATCATCATTTCCAGTAATTCTTAAACATAGATGAGCAGGAGGGATTATAGGCAAATTTCTATTGAGCTACTTATTTTTCCCGGTCAGGTCAGGATTGTCCGATATTCAGACGCTTTTGTGTCTCACCTTTTATGGAGATTGTATGTTGGGTGCTCTAATAAAGGACATATTTGAGTTCATGAATGGAAGGTTTTATGTGGTTAAACTATTGAGCAAAGGCTTGCTTGATCTTTACGTTGATAGTGATGCTAATATGTTATGCAGGTTTTAACTGCTGAGTAACATGCTACAAACTTGAAGGGTTGGTGATAAATCTTTGTCAAAACTTAAAATTGTGGGTAGACTTGTCACGTACCGGGTAGAGGCTTCCGGTTCAATTTTGAACAATTATCCAATATATTTTAATTGCCGACGTAGTTTTCAATTGCAAATGTGATTTTAAAAATTAGGTTATTTCCGCAAAATTGATTGACAAAATTAGGGCAAAAGACGACAACGTGGCAATCCGGGTTAACAGAACTCGGGGCGCTACAATAGTGATGCTAATATGTTATGCAGGTTTTAACTGCTGAGTAACATGCTACAAACTTGAAGGGTTGGTGATAAATCTTTGTCAAAACTTAAAATTGTGGGTAGACTTGTCACGTACCGGGTAGAGGCTTCCGGTTCAATTTTTCCAGATTTTTTAAATTTTTTTCTTTCTATTGATCTTTTGCACTCGAGAGTCAATCTCAGTCACGAATCGCTTCCGTTGCCTCTTGGCAGGCCTATGCCTGACTTTGCAAAATATATGCTAGGAACACACACACAGCACAAAAAATGCATTCCACGTGTCAAATAAAGCATAATTCGGCAGCCAAATCATGTTACCAAGTGGACTTAGAACCTAATTCTTGGATTAGAAAAAGAATATCTATGATCGAATGAGGTTCTTCATTTGCTTTCTGCGGAAGCTACGATCTTGTTTCTTTATTTGCTTTTGAAACCAATCATAATATTTTCATTAAGATATTCTTAACATCGAACCATTGATCCGGTCATAAACAATGGCTACAAGATTCAAATTCATAATTTTTAACTAGTGTGATATAGATGTGATTGTTCAATATAGTCAGCGTACGTACTGCACAATGTTTTGACAACTTATGAGGGTGCATATAACTTTTTGTTTGCCTATGTCTTTTTGTTATTTCAATGAATTGAAGTGCAAATAGTGATGTAAAATAAAAATGTAACTCCGATTGATAAATTGGAACAAAATTAACCCAATTGGACTTGAACAAAACATATTTCACATCTTGATGAAAAAGAAAAGAAGAAGACTGGGACCTACAAAATCTGGAACATGACAACAATGTTAATTTGTTTGTCTGAAAATTTTGTTACTGCACTTTCTCTATATACTGGAATGCACAAAACTAAGAAAACAACCCTCATTTTGATGAAGCATTACACACATACAGAGGAGCGGAGCTAGAAGAAAATAATCGTCGGGACAAATTTCATAAAATTTTAATTGTTGAGGCAAAATTATAAGGAATTTTTTGAAAATCTTTAAAAAACCTTGGACAAACTAACATATTTGAAATTTATTGTGGGGGCAATGGCACCCATGTAAATCCGCCACTGCGCACACACAAAGTTCATCGATGTTTAGAGGTTTTTTGCAAATATTAGACGTTTACTCTTTTACAGGTTAGTTTCCCGATCAATAGCGAATGGGGATTTCCATACATTATAATTTTTATCAGTAAATTTTGACGTCAAAAAGAGTAAAGGCGTGAACTTGTACGTTGTAAAGCACAAAAATGTGTATATTTAAGTATTATGGAATAATGTAATACATAATGAGATTGTTAAAAGAAGATGCTTATCAGCTTTATCTTTTACGTGGGAGCTGAAAAAGCAAGCTCTTAAGACTGCAATGCAAAAGCTACAAACCCCAGAAATAAAACTCCCAGTCAATTTTAATGTATAAATGTATTAGGTGAGAGAAAAGAGAGATTCCATTGGAATTTGGAGGGGTTTGCTGAGAACCATTTTGGTTCCTTCTGTCACTTTTGGTAATTTTCTTTGCTTTTTCTGATTTTCTGTCCCTCTCTTTTCTTAATCCTCTTTCTTCTCAGTTCTTTCCATATCATTGGACTCACATTTGATTTATGCTTTCATTGATTTCTTCAAGAGGGTTTCTCTAGCCCTTTAGCAAGAAAAGTAATTTTGAAAATCTTGTTTGTCAAAATGACTTCAATTTTTTTGTAAGATATTACCTAGTTGGGAAGTATTTTTTTTGTTCTAGACTTGAATATGTCACAAAGAAAATAGTTGCATGGCCTTTTGCTTTTGCTTTTTTATTTTTATTTTATAACACTTTCTCTGTGCACATAAAAATTCGAGTAGGTTCAAGTAATGCTAGTCATGTGGGGTGTAGTAAATTCCTTTTTTTTTTTTAATGATTATAATTACTTTTCATAATTCTCTATGGTAGTATTGTGGGCTTTAATTTCTAGAGAGAGAACATTCGTGTTAGAGAGCAAGAGAGAAAAGAAGAAGCAGAAGACATGGCAGGAGGTGGAATAGCTGCACCACCACCAAAACAAGAGGAATTGATACCACATCCAGTCAAAGATCAATTGCCTGGTGTTTCTTATTGCATTACCAGTCCACCGCCATGGCGTGAGTACTTTTTGTTCTTGCTTTTGCATGAAGAAAATTGCTTATAATTGTTTTTCAATATTAAGTGCTTCCATGTGTGCAATTATAATAAAAACTGCCTACTCAAGAGACTTCAATATTTAGTTTATGCATGTTTATTTAGTGTGTTACTGAAATTCTTTGGTGATCAAGTAAATTGTGACTGGTTTGTTCACTTTCATTTTCTTGGGTGAATTTTTCAAAGTAACCCTCTTAAATTCCTGGCTAAAAATGTTCGCTTATAAACTTTTTTTTTTTTTTTAATTTTTGCAGACCTTAGATCAGTTTTCTAATTTATGCTTATTAAAAATTGTCTTCATGCAAAAGCAAGAAAAAAAAGCACTTAAATATGGAAGCACCCCGTCCCCGTCCCATCTTTATTTGCTTAAGAAGTTAGTAACTCGGGCTATTTTTCATTTGCTGTTTCCAACTCGATTGTTCTTAAACAAATTGTTCATTTCATTAAGCCTAGGAAGTCTGTCCAGTCAAATTATTTATCAATTTTAATTTCTGAAGCAAGAAATTAATTATTTTCTCATTCCTTGTTAAGAAACTGGTTTTCTTTCTTGTCACGTATATATATTCTTCTTTTCTGTTCATTTCGTTCGATCACATGAATCATTTTTCGCGAAAGGTAATGCTAATGAGTTAGATCTTAATAACCTTTATATACCTATGTTTAATCTCTCGGTTGTTTCTCAATGCAGCTGAGGCCATACTACTCGGGTTCCAGCACTACCTTGTGATGCTCGGTACGACAGTCCTCATACCTTCCTCCCTGGTTCCCCAAATGGGAGGAGGAAATGTAAGAACTCTATATAGACTTATATTGCAAAATTTCTGGATAAATTTTTTGTTTAGTAGTATTCCTGATAATTTATTTATTGAATAGGAAGAGAAGGCTAAGATGATTCAGACAATTCTCTTTGTTGCTGGTCTGAATACGTTTGCTCAGACATTGTTTGGTACTAGATTACCTGCTGTCATTGGAGGATCCTTTACCTTTGTTCCCACAACAATTTCCATTGTCTTGGCTGGACGATATAATAGCATTGTCGATCCTGTTGAGGTGACTAATGAATCATTACAGAGTACTGGACAGAATTGGACATTTGTTCCTTAATACCGTCTTGTACTGTGCAGTTCACCGTTCCAAACATGCAAACATAGTTTAAATTGTGAATTTGTTCATATTAATGCCCAGAATATTGTTTCTTGTGCAGAAATTTCAGAAGATAATTCGAGGAACTCAGGGAGCTCTTATTGTAGCTTCGACTCTTCAAATTGTCCTTGGCTTTAGTGGGCTGTGGCGAAATGTAACCAGGTTGATGACTAATCTTCTCTTGTTAGGACAATATCCACTTTAAAAAAAAAAATGTAATTTTTCATCATGAGTCGACGTTTTTACTGATATGCTGCCATATTTTCATTGAAACATCAGGCTCATGAGTCCACTTTCTACAGTTCCATTGGTAGCTCTTACAGGATTTGGATTATATGAATTTGGTTTTCCACTGGTAATCAGTTATGCTATTCTTTTCTAACACTACAAATAATAGAAATTACCTTTTTCTCAACATTGTTAGTATTATTGACTGCTTCATCTGGTCTTCAGCTTACAAAATGTGTCGAGATCGGACTCCCACAGCTTATCGTTCTTATAATCTTTTCACAGGTGATTTTCTGATATATTGTACTGAAATCTGATTTCAAATTGAACTCTACACTAAAAACCAATGTTCGATATTTTGAATTACATAAGAGATACATAAGAGATATTAGTTCAATAACCAGTTTATGAATGTGTTATGCAGTACTTACCCCATCTCATGAAAGGTGGAAGAAATGCCTTCGACCGGTTTGCTGTTTTATTCTCAGTGATCATTGTGTGGATTTATGCACACTTACTTACCGTTGGGGGAGCATACAATAACGCACCACCGAGGACTCAACTAAGCTGCAGAACAGACCGTGCTGGAATTATAGGCGCTGCTCCATGGTAAGGCTGTTTCCTTTATTTCAAGGATGAAAAAATAAAGACTACCTTTTGGCATCTTGTTTGTACTTTCAACTTAAGAGAAGAATGCTAGCATTTTAAATATATCTGTGAATGGTAGCACAGGTTGTGTAGTGTATACCTAAGCATGGGACTACGTTGGAAGCATTTAACTGCTGGCTCACTAAGCTGGACTGAGCGGAATCTGATAACATCGTCACTTTTCCTCCACCGCAGATTGACCTAGGGTCCAGGTGGGGGGGGGGGGGTAGGTACCCATGCTTGGGTATTTTAGATATTTATTAGGTCGTCCTAATGTTCATAGTGTGTAAAGGACTCCTTCAGGTCAGTTTTTTGAGTGTGTGAGAGGTGAGAAATCACAATATACCCTTCTTAATTATAGCCAAAAAATGGACATAAGCCTACAAATTTTTGTGTGCAATTTGCTTTTCTATGCTTGAGTATGCATTAGGTCATCCTGATGTTCCTAACATGTAAATGACTTTATGGAGGTCAATTGTTTAGTGCATGAGAATCGAGAAATCACAGTGCACTTTTCATTCTAGTGAAAAGTGGACGTAGTTCCTTACATTGAATGATCAGAACCACTATAAATTTTTGTATGCACTCTGCTTGTTTTCTGATTTTATTTATGATTGCTCTCGAAAATATTGGATATTGCTCAATCTGTAACACCTCTTTTGCAGGATAAGAGTTCCATATCCATTTCAATGGGGAGCTCCGACTTTCAATGCTGGGGAATCATTTGCCATGATGGCAGCTTCCTTTGTGGCTCTTGTCGAGGTGCATCCTTCTTCACTTAAATTTATAAATCAAATCTTGAAATATCATTAACTAATTCAGTTTTTTTTTTATCTCGTTGTTCTGACAGTCAACTGGCGCTTTCATTGCCGTCTCAAGGTATGCCAGTGCAACTCCTATGCCACATTCTGTTCTTAGTCGAGGAGTTGGTTGGCAGGTACGAGACTTAGCCATTACATATCCAAAAATTAATTAAAACTGTATTTAGAATCACTGGGTTTAATTTAGTCTTGTTTTTCTTCGCCTAGGGTGTTGGCATATTATTCAGTGGAATATTTGGAACGGGAATTGGATCTTCAGTGGCTGTGTAAGATCATTTTCTAACTGGTTTATTAGAATGTTCACAGTATTGGGCACAGTCAAAAAAGACTTCACTCATTACTATGAACTAGGGACTTATTTATTAGTAGATGATCCGATTCTCTCTGTAAACAGAGAAAATGCTGGTTTGCTGGCGCTAACACGTGTTGGAAGCCGGAGAGTAGTGCAAATCTCAGCCGGTTTCATGATATTTTTCTCAATACTAGGTAATTAAACTAATTACATGAAGTTTTATGTGATACATTCATTAATAACTATGTAGTTTCTTCTTTAGAATCATTGCAGATTTGGTTTGTTTAATACTTAAATTTGTACTTTCAGGCAAATTTGGAGCTGTCTTTGCTTCAATTCCATCCCCAATTGTTGCAGCTATGTATTGCCTATTCTTTGCGTATGTCGGTATGTAAACTCACATTATGTTGCAGCCTTCTACAATAATGTGCCAGTCCTAATAGGACGTTATTGTCCCGGAAGGACCAAGATGGAGCGTCCATCCCCCACTCCCCCCTGTTACTCTGTTTCCTCCCCACCTAGTGCCTCCCCCCCGGCCTCCCACATACTCGTCATCGAGCAAGTAGCACCTGGGGTCCTCAGTTACTACTTGTGACCTCTCGAGGTGCTCATAGGGTCCTGAGGAATAGGGCAGTGAAGGCCTTTTCAATATGGATAGAATTTACATTTAGAGCTTGTTTGGCTTGAAAAGGTTTCCTTTCAAATACAATAGTTGATATATATATGTACATGTACAGGTGTTGGAGGTCTCAGTTTCATCCAGTTCTGCAACTTGAACAGCTTTAGGACAAAGTTCATCTTAGCTTTCTCAATCTTCATGGGCTTCTCTATACCACAATATTTCAATGAGTACACCGCTGTGAACGGCTTCGGTCCTGTCCACACCGGCGCAAGATGGGTAAGCAGTGGTGCCAAAAACAACTTGTGATCTTTGTCCTTTCTGGTACCATATCAAAACAAGTTCGTTTTTTTAATGCACTATTCTAACACTTTTTTAATCGTTCTTTCAGTTCAATGATATGATAAATGTCCCTTTCGCATCGGAGGCATTCGTTGCCGGAGTTTTGGCACTGTTTTTGGATGTCACAATGCCTCCAAAAGACAACACAACCAGGAAGGACAGGGGCATGCTTTGGTGGGACAGATTCAGGTCATATCAAACTGATACAAGAAGTAAAGAATTCTATCAATTGCCATTCAATCTCAACAAGTTTTTCCCATCAGTGTAATTGAGGATATAGCATATAAAAGCACACCTCAATATGAGTTCCAATACAAATTTTCAAACTGTTTTTTTCTTTTTCTCTAATTAGTTATAGTTAATATTAATGGATTGTTAATTATGGTTTGATCTCAAAAGTGTTGTTTGCCTGCCATGGAATGGGATGAAGGAAAATGATAATTTTTTATGCTGACATTTTGAAGGACTTTTTGTAAAGAATCCATCTTTGATGACTTAAATTTGCAAAATGTCCAAAACATCATAAAATCAAGAGGTTAGCCAAATTTCAAGTGAGTTTCATAACCATCTAAATGTGTAAAAGTTGACATATAAAATCGAAATATGCCGAAAAGTAAATTAAAACATTTGATTGTCTTCGAAATTGAAATGTTTGATCGTCCAAATGCTATAAGAAGTTTGTTACATCTCTTTTATCCATCTGATTGATCTTTTTCTGTCACTTATTGTCCAAATATGAATTTATAGGAAACTATATTTAGCCTCCGTTTGGTATTCATTCTTTTTTTCATTCTCATTCTTCTACTAATTTTCAACCACACATTCATCAATAAAATAATATTTTCCATCACATCAATAACTTTTCCTTCATTTTCAACCACAAAAAAGGTGTGATTTGACACAAAGAATGCATTTTTTTCTATAATAATGGTTACCAAACGGTGCCTTAACATTAATTTGTATTGTTTAAGCATACATGAAATTTTTTACTTATGTTTAATTAACTTATAAATAATTTCGAACAACAAACAAGGTAAAAAAAAATTTAATATTCAAAACGTGTTCTATTTATTTTTTAAATTATTTTTATTTTATTATATTATTAATAATTGCATGACTTTATTAATTAGTAAATTGCAGTAGAATGCAATTGAAAAGTAAAGAAGAAAAAGTTCCGAGGGAACAATTCCCAAATAACCCTAAAAAATTTACTAATTCTATAGTTAATTACACATATTTCACCACCCTATTAGCAACACCGCTGCCACCACTTGTAACACATTGTGTTGCACTGCCTTCACCGTTGGTTGCCACCACCACTAAGTGTAACACTGTGTCACAAGTGTGACACAAGCATGTAACACACAGCAGCACGACCATTCACAAACCATCCTGCCACCTTCGTTAGCCGCCACTACCACCAAGTATAATAAACTATGTTACAAAGTGTATCATAGTAACATATCGGGTTATAGTGTAACACATTCTATTATACTTGTAAAACACAGCACAACTACCATTCAATTACCATCTTGTCACCTACCTTCACCTTAAGTCACCACCCTCAACACCAACATGGTGCCACCACCAACATTGCCACCACATATTTCCACCACAACAACCACCACCATTAGCGGCGGACCCAACACCCGAAGAGGGGGCGCGACCACGGGTGTTGGGCTCCTCCGAAACAATGACCGGTAGAAGGAAGACGGAGATCGACGACTTGCGAGATTTGGATTTCTACTTTTTTTTTAGTTGGGCCTTTTGTTTGGACCTTTGTTTTTTAATTGACCATCACAATTCACAGGCCCAAATCCAATGATCCATCACCATTCATCCATATATGAATATATACCAAAACGAATTTGAAGGCAAGGTTTGAAACCCAAATCCTCATCACGATTCACGTTCCAACCTCCACCATTCCACTTTGACGCCTCCACCTCCTGCTGCAGCCTGTTGTGCCAGACGAAGTCGACGAGTCGCTAGACCGAATTATTCGAGTCTCTGAAAGTTGGAGTCATCGCGTCAAAGTCGGACCCGTGAGTAGTGGACAGTGAGCACTAGCGTCTAGCAGTGAGTCGTTTTCTTCTTTTTTTTTGGTTTTGGTATTATTTCTTATTTATGAGTTTTGACTATCATTACTTATTAATCATGATTTATGGTCAATGAATTAATTGGCAATTTGGCATTGAAATTAAAATTGTGAATCTGTGATTTGTGAATATGTGATTTGGAATAAATAATTTATATTGCACTATCTGTTAGAATCTTTGTAATTAGTCTAAATAGCTGAGGTCATTTCTGTCATTTTACTTCTTTATTTTGTCTATAAATACGGTAGTTCACTTACCGTATATGTTGTTGTTGAAATACCGGTATCAATTGAAAAATTGGGGAAAAGTTTTCTCCCGCCAATCTCTCTTCTCTTCCAATTCTATTTTCACACTATCATTGAATCACATCCGCATCACAAATGTTGCATGAGTCATCACCACTACAAGATGAAGGACACCACCACTTTGTATATAAGTTCAGATCTCAAAACAATTTTTTTAGATATGAAAATTAAATTTGAAAAATAAATTTTCTTCATCATTTTTATTCTTTGAATCTTGCAATAGAATTTGGGATGTGGATGTTAGATTAGAAGGTTTAAGGCTTGACTGCTCATTTTTTAAAGATTTAAAACCTCTGCTACAAAATTCCCTAAAACATTTATCTGTGCATCTCAAAATTTTTGAGAATGTGACATACATTTATCTTATTAAATTATCCACTGCATATGTCCCCAATCCATTTATCCAATAAAAATTGTATACACTTTTTTTCTTAACCAATTTTGTTAGAGATAAAACAAGGGTCCTCGTTTGGTGAATTCAACTGCAGTGCTGAATTGGAAAGTCTCGTTTTTGGCACTAGGCAAACAAACAAATTTAGAAGGGCCATTTATTGCAATAAATTATTGCAATAGAATCCATCGATGGCTGTAAACAATATTAAGTCAATGCAGCCATGGGTGTGATATTATCCTCATATTAGAGAAGGAAAGACATGCACCCTCGAACTCTCGTGTCAATTCCTTATTGGTTGATATCGTGGAAATATTCTTGCCTAACCAATAATGTTGATAACAAGACAAGATTTTTAATGTCTTGTCTATTTTCGTACGTTGCATATAAGAATCTCACATTGACTGGTGATATTTACACGATCCACTTAATAAAGTGAGGACAATCCTTCCCTAACAAGTCGATTTTGTTAGACTGAGTTATGCACAATATCATTTCTAATATGGTATCAGAGTAAACTCAGTTTTGCAATGTTGGATGCACTCAATATCGATTTGTTCACAATTGTTTGACATGATCCACATTATATGTGAGGAGGTATATTAGAATCTCACATTGATTAGTGATATTTACACGATCCACTTAATAAGGTGAGGGCAATCCTCCCTAACAAACCAGTTTTCTTTCTAATATTGTATGCGATTGAAATATAATATTATTAAATGCGATGTGCAAAGGAAATGGAGGGCTTTTATCATTCGTGCATTTTAATGTTGTAATTATAAAGGATGTCAAATTGTCGATGACATTTTTACTAAATGCTCGTCAATAGGATTAACGTCCAATATGTAAATTAAAATTAATTTTGCCTCAATCTCATTTTGTAAAATTTTTGAAAGAGATTTTTCTAAACCACCAATTTATTCTTACACAACTAAATTGTTGCAAGTCTTTCTTGTTTCGGAAATTGATTAACACAATTGATATCAAGAAAGTTAATTTATGATCTATGAACACAATTTTCACATACTAAAAGTTAATAAATAAATTAAATAATTGAAGTAATTACTCAATGCCTTGTGCATCTTTAGAATATCATAAGTTCCATCTTTGAAGTTACAAAGAAATTGTAATTCAACCTAACAGTACTAATAAATTATTCGTAAACATAATAACACGATAATGAGTTTTGTGGTAAATGGTAGTAAGATCTAATCATTTTTATAACGAACAAAACAACATAATTGGCCTTTTCGTTTAGCTCATAAAAAAATTTATTGTGATAAATTTATCATCAATATGTAAAAGAACAAAAAACAAATTATTAAAATGAAATCAGAGAACGGCTTCATCATTTGTTTCAGTTTAAGTTGGTAAACAATATGTTTTATATTCATTTTTTCCTTGAGTCCATTGCCTAGAATTTGAATTACTTTCTTTAAAAATTTAGGACTGTTCTCTTTGTGTTTCAGTTTTGTGTTTTGGACGTTCATTTTGAGATTGTTTAAAATGTGTTCTTTTTGATATTTTGAAAAATTGTTTTGAAAACACTTAAAACTCTTTTTGAAAATTTTGGCTTGATTATAACTGAAAATGCCCAATTTGTCGTTTTGTATTTTCTTTGTAAATTTTAACTTATTTTTAAAAACGCATTTTCGAAAATAGGAAAGAGAACGTGTTTTCACTATTTTGAAAAATTGAAAACAGAAAACGGTTTGAAAATAGTAAAGAAAATAGACCCTTAAATTCTTAAAAACTGAATCCATTATTTTAAATACTTGATGTTGAAGCGTGCGTGTTTTTCATAATCGAGTAACCGAAAAATATAATCCAAAAATTAATTTACATATCTTGCTACTATAATAAAATATTATATTTTTTAAAAGTTCAAACAGTTAAAATAAATATATTTATTTAGTTAAAGTAAAGATGAGGAAAGGAAAATTTAGTAAAATTTAATACTTTTATATATGTGTAATATCACTCCCAAATGAATTGTCTTCTTCTTTTTTTTTTTTTTTATGAAATGAGTCCCATCCAAATTAGAAAATCAATATTCGATTACTTTAATGTAATAATGATTCTCACCCAGCACCAGATGCATTTCTCTTTTTTAGGGATAATTACAAGATTAAATGTTTCAATAGATAATAAAGAAGTTTGCTTTACTTTTGATTATTTTAATATTGTTTAAAGAGGTTCCTTTTTTCTTTTTTCTTTTTTTTTAGGATCATTACCAGATTAAATGTTTCAATAGATAATAAAGAATTTTGCTTTGCTTTTGATTATTTTAATATTGTTTTATGAGGTTCCTTTTTTTTTTTAGGATCATTACCAGATTAAATGTTTCAATAGATAATAAAGAATTTTACTTTACATTTAATTATTTTAATATTGTTTAATGGGGTTCTTTTGTAATGGCAAATGGTTCGTTGATTTTCATTCATGCTATAGTTGTAGTGACGAAGTCAGC